GAATATGATCATTGCAGACAACCTTCTTACCAACATCTGCACAGACTAAGAGCAGATCATGCAGACCTAAAACAAGGCTGCAGTGCATCTGTTTTGGCAAAAACAGATCTGCTGCAGATCTTTTGCAGATCTGCCCGTTTCGTACGGGGGGTCATCTTCAGAGCTGCCTATCATCCAAGGTGAAACTAAGGACACATTAGAGAGTCAAAGGCTAGAACTCCTTAAACTATGGAAAACCTCTCCTAGAGATGCCCAAAACATCAGGACTCTAATGGAAAAGACATTCCCACTAAGGAGGTCATTCATTCTCAAAGCAGATGTACGCCTATGGAAGATACTGGGGGATTATCCTGCTTTTCAGGATGCAAAGGGAAATGAGGTATATAAATTGTTTGCTCATAATAATTATAGAATTCAATTAGCTCTATGATATGAACCTTACACACTGTTTCCATGCAATGCCTGGATAGTGACAGAATTTTTTTTTTTGATTTTCATCTTCATATAGCTGACAGTAGCAAATATTTTTTTCTGTCACATGCACCATTGCCTTAGGGTTAAATCGTTTAATTATTTGTAATGCAACTAATTAAGTATAAATTTTGAAAATTCTAGCTGAAAGCAGAGCTGGGAAGAATCCTTGGAAATCCAAACATTGTCAAGGAGATGAAAGAAATATGGGATATGAAGAAGCCTGCAATTTTGTCTGCTCTAAAAAGTGAAAAAAAGCAGGAAATACGCTCATTACTGTTTTCCCTGGAAGATTGTGATCCAGCAGATGAAAAAGGTAAAAACAACAATAATTATTTGTTTTCTGACAATATGCCAATCCTATAATTGCATAAATCAAGGAGTTTCTTCTACATTAATGTGAAATTTATTATCCAAAGTCCATTGTCAGGGAATGAATGAAATTACAAATCTTAAGTCAGTTATACTATGGTGAGTAATTCTAAATCCACTCTATATGCTAACTATGCGCATGGGTATAAAAAAAGGAATCTGAAAGATGTTGTATTCCTGTAAAAGAGGAAGATAAATTTCAGAGAATGTCCTTCATGAGTCTTCTTTAAACATTCTGTTCTTTTTCTTCGTCTTTTAAAGGAAATAGAACCTCTTTTAGATTCCATTTTTTATAAGCATGCGCATAGTTAGCATCTAGAGTGCACTTTAGTATTACTCACCATAGAATAACTGACTTAAGATTAGTAATTTCTTTCATTCCCTGATGAGGAACTAAGATATCCTTAAGCGTGGAAAATGAATTTCAATTAAACGTAGAAGAAACACCTTGATTCATACAACTATCGTACCCAACATACTAAACTTGATTCTATAATTGTTTTGAAATCAACTGCGGCTATACCCAGAGGTGTAGTGTTATATGAATAAGTATGGAACCTTATCATCAACTTGGTCATTGTAGTTGGGCAGACTTTAGGCCAAAGCAATACTAAACAATTCTCACTATTTTGTGGGATTATAATGACATTGCTTTCAACCCCTATTTTTTGACTTTATTGATGCAATTTTAATATATTTTTGTATTGATGCTCATTTCAGAATTGGAAGGTCGGTGTATATTGGCTTGTCTTCCCCATGCTCTAGGGGAGAAGTCAACCGGTAAAATTGTCATAGAAGAACTTTTTTGGCATATCACTTCAGTAAGTCTGCTAGTAATATATAACTCAAAATACTAAAATGTACTTCAATTGAATTGTCTTTACAGCATGATGCATGCTATTGTTGAAGTTTCCACCTAGACAAATTTTAATTTTTCTTTTTCTTTTCTTGGTGTTTTTTTTCAATAATCATACCCGGCTACTTAGCAAGTCTTAGAAAAAAACAAGCTAATGAGATATGACAAATTCTTCGATAAAGATGATCGATTTTGGCAAAAGTCTCAAAAAGCACTTAGGAACATTCGGCTGCTTTGAAAAAGTGTAAAAAATCTTGCTCTGGTGGGAATAGTAGCAAGTTTTGCGCTGTGAGCCTTAGAAATTTATAGGATATATTAGCRCAAGAAGTTTCCAAATTTGTTATATTTATTTAAATTTATATTTAAATTATATTTATTATTTATTATATTGGTTTTTTTTATTTATTTATTTATTGGTTTTTTTCATCGTAGGATAAAGACGATATAGATGCAATAATAACAACAAGTACCTCCCCTCGATTGGTATCCGCTGGGTCACTTGAACAGCTGGAGACCTTGTGTTTAGTGACCGAAGGGATGGTAGTCTGTAAATTTAGAAATTTCAACGTCTTTAACGCAGTGATTGCCCTATTGGGCTGTTTTTATATGCTAAATGCTTGCTTCCCCATAGGTAGCAATGGGCGAAGCAAAAATGTTTACCTCTTTTTGGAGCATTTGCTTATTAATGATAAGAAGCAGCTTCCCACTGGGGTGGAGACCTTTGCCACAGCATTAAAACTGTATTTTTTTTGATTTGTGATTATTATTTATCAATATTATTGTCAATTATAAATAATTTTATTATTGATATAATAAAGAGGCTGTGAAAATTTTTATATTTCAAATTATTGTGTACAATTCGTTTCCAGATAAAGCAATTCTAACCATTTGTAATTGGTCAGTGGGACCAATATTCCTGGTTAATCTGACCAAATTGTAATGGTGCATACAACCAAAAAGAATTGGTCACAGTTACCAATATATTTTAACCAATAACGGATGGTTAATTCAACCAAAAAAAAATTGGTTATCTGTGATGCATTGAGGTAACCAATTTTAATTGGTTATTTCAACCAATCTGTTTTTACAGTGTGCATAATAGATAAACATATTCCCTTAAACTATTTTTCAAAAAAGAAATCAAAACTTCAAAGTACACCTTGGATTATAAAAGGTATTATGACTTCCATACAACAACAACAAAGAAAGAAAGAAAAAAAAAAAGCAAATTATACAAAAAAATTATCAAAACCAATTCTGCTGTCTATCAAACTAAATTTAAACTTTATAGGAATAAAATTAATCAAGAATTAGCAAGAGACAATATCATGATGACCATTTCAATGCAAATGCAACTAACAGCAAACAAGTCTTGAAAGGAATCAAAGAAATAGTAAACACTAGCCTGCGTGCCGCCGAACGTTTACTCGTAAAGTCCGTAAAGTCGACTTTACGACAGAAAATTCCGGATGCAGTGCAGGCTAGTAAACACCAAATCCAATAAATCTTATCAACAAATTAGCAAAATTTGCATCAATGATAATGACTTAACTGATCCAAAATCAATTTCTGATGCATTACTTTGCCAACATTGGCAAGCAATTGGCTGATAAAATACCACCCTCTACTATTTCTTATATACATTAACGATTTTCATCTCCGGTCTAGCATCTTAGATTTCCATCTTTTTACAGATGATGCATGCTTATTCTATAAACAACAAAACGTAACTTCTATACAAACTAATATCAATGCTGAGCTCGACAACATTTATTCATGGCTGTATGCTAATAAACTTACACTAAAAATAGTCAAACTATGTACTCTTTCATACTACTCAAAGGAAAAGTACTGCTAGTACTGATTTTTGACCAAAAGGAACTTAAACAGGAAAAGTATATCAAATATCTTGGTATTTTAATAGGTCAAATCTGTCATTGAAACCCCACATAAGTCATATTTTGAAAAAGATCAAAAGAAACTGTGTATCTTACCTAAAATCAGTTATTTTATTGATCTAAAAACAAGGATAAAACTATATCTTAGCTTGATTTACCCATTTCTAATACATGGTATACTTGCATGGGGTAGCATCTACCCCGCAACTCTTGATCCGTTATTGAAATTACAAAAGAAAGTAACGCGGGTTATGACATTCTCTAGTTTTGATGAAAAATCCAGTCCCTTATTTAAAAGGTTAGATATCATCAAACTAAATGATATCACATTCCTCTATATATCAGTCTTTATGTATAAGTATCATCATT